TTAGTCTGATTAGTCCAGCTTCAGATCATTCGATTGCTCTCTTTTTCCTTCTCCTAGCTAGGTCAGCCTTTGGCTTTGTCTTCTATCAATGAATCCTCGTTTGTCTTACTTTCTCCTTTCTTAATTGTTGGACCTCCTCGATATATGCATTGTCACCTTTTTTATTTACAGTTACATTGGAGCAAAGTTTAATAGAAAGCTACTCCAATCTTCACATAAAAGGGTGATTAGCAAAGTTGATATAAATATTGACTCTAGTTACATAATTGTAAAAATGTGTTGGTAATGAAATGTCAAATGATTCAGACTTGAAGCTTAATTTAATCACATGATCATATTATGCATGAACAACCCTCAAAATCATAAACTTTTGATCGGAAGCCTAAGCTCTCAATCAATAAGGTCGAGGTGGGCCGCATTAGGAAACGATTGGCTCTCACAAATATAATTAAATTATGGGGTTGAATTGCTCTGATCATTAGCGTATGGGATTTAATTTTTGCACCTCTTGACTCGTGCTATTCAAAGTCATGGGGTTTAGTGAAGAAAAGCATGGAAAGTCTTAGGGCTTATAATAGATCTCAAAATATTAAATTTACAAAATAATCAGGGAAATATTATTCTACGTAAAATTAAATTTAATTTACCATTAAAAGAACACCAATATTGTTGGTCTAAAAAAGTCATTTTATGAAAGGGAAAATCCTAAAAATTGAGGGATACTAAATGTAAAAAAAAGTCTCTCTCTCGAAAAGTTTCAATTACATTCCTGATTTTCCACTCACTAGAGCTAAGAAAAAACGCTTATATGATTGCCCTCGAGCTGCTTGTTCTTGTTTTAACTCAATTGTACGGTTGTACAGCTGTCTAGCCCTTTATCTCTCTCTCTCTCTCTCTCTTTCTCTCTCTTCCAGCTGCCTAGCCCTTTATCTCTCTCTCTCTCTCTCTCTCTCTCTCTCTCTCTCTCTCTCTTTCTCTCTCTCTCTCTAACTTTGTGGTGTGAAGACTCATTTGGAGAGCAACTTATAGGGATAGAGCACCCGACACATATGCACCGGGCAGTGGGCACATAAGCACCCACTTGAGTGTGAGCTACAGAAAAGCTGGTGCTATGGGCCCACTCCCACTGTGGCGCTGCTTTGATACAGAGAGATTGACGCTTATGTGCCAACCTATTGGCACATATGTGCCCAACATCAGATGTCGATATAGAAAGCAAGGCGCTTAGATGCCAAGTCTAGGCGCTTATGCACCCACAGCAGTTTACATTGGATTTCGGTTTTAATTCTCGATTTGAAGTGGCATAAGTGTTGTAAGGTGGTTTTTCTTCTAGAGTTATTTGATTGTGTTCCTCCCGGTGAAAGTGAGAAGAGTCGAAGAAGTGGACTTTGGTAATTTGGCGTGATTCTTGCATCGGATTGGAGAAGGAAGATTGTGGAACGTGTCTTGTAAGTTTCATTGTGTGTAAAGAGAAAATTTGTGTGAGTTTTCTATAAAACTCTCTGATTTCTTAGTGGAATTTTTTGGAGGTATGACACATTGTTTTTTCCTGTTCTTGGGGCTTTCCATGTCAAAATTCATGTGTTCTTTTCTGATGTGCTTTGATTGTCCTTCTGTTCAATTAGATTTTCTTCCAATTTATCCCGAATTTGTGTGAACCTGTTATTCCATTGGTGTGGTTTAGTTTCTAAATGATCCTAAACCCCGACAAAGTTGGAAATTGTTTTCATTTATTTCTATCAATCTTCCTCTATTTTCGCTCCTTCTTAACGCTCTATTCCTTGGAGTATGATACAAGAACAAATACGAGTCCACCAACCACTTTTCCTAGGCATGAAAAACGATATTTCATTTTTTTAAAGTTAAAAATAATGGTTTTTTTATATGATATGAATGATTTGGGTGGTATAAATGTAAAATTAAAGTTAAGATCTTGTATATGTATAAATATGGGAATTTGGTGTTTTTTTTTATTTTCTTTTATGTAGGAATTGGGAGTTATATATGTAAATGACCAGAGGATTAAGTACTAATATTAAACATCAGATTAATTTTCAATGATTTCCTCCTTAAGTGACAGAGGCCATAAAGTCAAAAATGCCAGAACTATGTAATTTAGCAAAGAAAAAAAATAAGATTTAAGGAGTATGGTAAATTTTAAGTTTAATAATTGGCAATTTTTATAGGTCAATCACTTAAGAAAATTATATATATATATATATAGCATCATATATATATATATATATATATTCTTAGAAAGGAGGTTATTGAAAAAATTTAGAAGTTTAATAAGAAATGAATTTCCTCAAATTAAATTAGTATTTTAGTGAAGGGGCTTTTATGCACTTAACACCCAAAACTTTTATATTTAATTATATCACAACAAAACTTTTATAATTACAAATATCATATGAAAAGTGGTACTGATTATCATATTTTAATAGTCAAATATATCTTTTAATCCATAAATAAAACGCTAAAATAAAACTTTAGGTGTGAGATAAGTAAATCTACAAAAATTGGGCGCTATGCATGTAATTTTTTCAAAAAAAAAAAAAATTCTCATAGAATTCTCATAGGCTTTAGCGCCACAAAATTATTATTTTCTATTAAAAAACATTAAAATATGTCAACTTCATTCAAAAGCAAATTGGTCTCATGAGAAAAAAAAAAAAAACAAAGAAAAAGGAAAAGAGAGGGCTTAGTATCAAATCTTGATTTCATTCCAAAACATAATTTACTGTCCACCGCTTAAATTCAAAAGAAAAATTCGGGCTTTGGATTATGACCTTCACGACCATATTGCATGAGTAATGAAAACAAAGGAAAATTTACATAGCTACCTACTCTTAACCATTTAAATATATCACACTAAAACTTTTATTTTCACGAAAACAAATAGCACTAATCACGTCTTCAACTGTGAAATACATATTTTCATATCTAGGATCCGTTTGGAGCAGTTTATTTGATGCGGTGACATTTTGAAAACGCACTTGATCTGTTTGGGTAAACTGTGTTTTTACAGCTAATGCGTTTTGAAAACACTGAACGTAGCGTTTTCTGGCCACGGTCTGGCTTTTCCAAAAAAATAAAAATTTGTAATAGCCACCGCACCTAACTTATCAGCAGATTATTTTTAATCAGCTTATCAAAAAAATCAGAAAAATATTCAATAAGTTGCAGCTGCTCCAAACAGACAAATAATAGATAGTAAGATTTTGTGTTTGTTAAAAATGAAATTTTAGAATGAAATATCTGTAAATTTCATACAAAGCACCTGAAGACATTGATAATTACAAGTTAACCTCACAGAGGATTTTTGAAGTTTAGAGCTGATGCGTGCTAGAAAATTCTCTGCGGTAGAGTAATGGATTATCGTCTTAGAGCTGCGCCAGGATTCAACACACACTCAGATGAAAATGAATCAAGCTGTGATAACACCAGAAGTTTTTGCGTGGAAAACCCGTAAAGGGAAAAAATCACGGGGACTGACCCAGTTATAAAAATCCACCGGGGGTCCCACTGATCGGCTAGGTGTAAGACCGAAATACAGAATTTAAGTCCTGGGATGTCCAATCCCCCGAAGAGCTCTTTTGGGAGGTGACAAGTGACATCAGAGTAGATTACTCCCTGTCAGGTGTGTGGATTCTCAATGGTCCAGTGGAACCCTCAGAGGAGCCGATCCGTGACGAATGCGTCACATGACTGGTTGGAGGAGAAAGTCACGGAAAAAAAGTCCCACATCGACAAGGTGTAGGGCCGAAAAACAGTATTTAAGTCCTGGGCTGCCCACCACCCCAAATAGCTCTTTTGGGAGGTGATAAGAACAAATGTATTTACGCATATGACGATCAAACTATTGAGAATTTTATTTTTTAAAAAAAATCAGTTGGGGGTTTAACATCAATTTTGATATTTGATTGAGAATTTTTAAATTGATGAAAGATGTTGGTGAATTTATAAATAGCAAATTTCGGGTGGTCTGTATGTAATTGCCTAAAAAAATAGCTTATAGGCTAAATAGGATAGACTACTTATAATAATATTGGCCTTGCATGTGATCTCACTCATAGCTTCAAGTCCCCCACAACCCTCAAGTAATTGTTTTGTTATAAATTAAATATTAAAAAAAGATTTGGTAGTGTCAACAATTTAGTTATCTTTTCAAGTCTTGTTGAAAAGGGTATGATAAACTAATATAGAAAAGTATATTACAATGTCAATAGAGTAGCTAGTCCTTTGAGACTTTTGCAATAAAGTATCATATAACAATTTGTAAAATGTATTGTAATTGGTATTAGTGATGTTTCCTTTTAATTGTCCTAAATAGTAAAATGTATTGTTATGCACATTTTTTTCTCTATTTTTTGAGATATTCACAAAAACCCTTCTCTGATTTGCCAATATTCTAGATTTTTGGTTGCTTAACATCTTCTTATTTCTGTCATGAGCAATGATGGCAATTTTGCTTCATCTAAAGCTAAAAAAATGATGTTTTTGGGATCTTTTGTGCAATCTTACATGTATCAATTTTATCTTTTATTGTCTAATTTCTATCTGTTCTTTGTGCAATCTTACTCGTTCAACTCATTTTCTTATTCTAAGCCCAACCCAATATAAATTTTTTTAAAAAAATACCGACTTTTGGGAATTTTTGCTTCATTTTTGCCTCTTGAGTTTTGAGGTGATTTCTATTTCTCCTTTCCTTTTTTTTTCATTATTCTAGAGCCACATTGACAATGTATCTCTTTTACAGCTCTTAATTTGGTTTCATAATTGAAACTATTCTTACATTTATCTAATCAAATTTGGCAATGTCCTCATCATAAAAAAAATAAAAGAAAAAGAAAAAAAAAAGGGGGGGGAGGCAGGTGGAGCCGTAGTGGTTGGAAAAATGCGTAGGACCTTCAAAATACTTCAAAAATGGCAGCTGCTGATGCGCAAATATTCATGATTATGTGGTAGCATACAATAGGAGATCAATACAAGACAATGAAAACTTCCAAACCTTTGTACAAAACATTCAAGGAAATCCACCAAAGCGAGGGAGATCGGTCAACCTTTCTCTTTAACCAGGTCCTCAGAAACTCAGAACCTCCAGTGAGCGCAGAGAATCTACAGATATCTCCAGTCCTCCGCCTTCCCTATTCTATATCCAAGTTTCATTTTTTCCTTTTTTATTTATTTTTTAGCCATTGAAAGCTCTGCGAGTAAGAACCCACGAGCAGATAAAAAAGAAGCCCCTTAAAAAAACCAGCAGTGGAGCAGAGAGAAGGAGAACAGAAAGCTCAAGAAAAAAAAGGTTGCAGGGGAAGTCGGGATGGCGCGCAGCTCTGGCTGCCGCCGCTGGATTCCTCAAATTGAATGTGCGCCAGCAGCCGCCGATCCTGGAGACGGAAGGAGGTAATCAACGTCGGATTATACGGCGATAAAGGCGCCTCCTTTTTCGCTGTAAGTGAAGGAAAGAGGGAGTTTTACCATGGCGGCTGCGAACGCTCTGGCGACCGGAGAATCGTCGTCAGCCGCTACGGTGGAGGCGACTGCAAGGACGGCGAGCAGGCGTTACGAAGCACTTGTTTCCGTGCGGACTAAAGCGATGAAAGGGAAAGGAGCTTGGTATTGGGCCCATTTAGAGCCGTTGCTCGTCCATGGCTCCGATTCTAGTTTACCAAAAGCCGTCAAGCTCCGCTGCTCTCTCTGCGACGCCCTTTTCTCCGCCTCTAATCCCTCCCGCACCGCTTCGGAGCACCTCAAGCGCGGAACTTGCCCCAATTTCACCTCTGCTGCAGCCGTCGCCGCTGCTTCTGCCGGGCTCTCCTCTGCCCCAACGCCTATCTCTTCCTTCCCTCCATGCAGAAAGCGCCAATCTTTACTTCCCTCCGACTCCATGCTCTCACCTTTTTCCTCTTCACCGCCGCTGCCGGGGATTCCCGCTCTCCCGGCGCCCCACCATCGACTTGCACTTTCAGGAGGAAAGGAGGACCTCGGCGCGCTCGCCATGCTCGAAGATAGCGTTAAGCGGTTAAAAAGCCCCAAGGGAGCCTCGCCCGGCCCTGCACTGGCGAAACCCCTCGCTGATATCGCCCTCTCTCTCCTCGCCGACTGGCTTTTTGAATCCGGCGGCGCTGCTTCCCCTTCGTCCCTCGATCACCCCAAGTTCCGCGCTTTCTTACACCAAGTCGGCCTCCCCGCTCTCTCTCCTCGAGCTCTCTTCGGCCCAATCCTCGACTCCCGTTTCCACGATGCTAGCGTCGAGTCCGCCGCCCGCTCACACGACACACTTTACTTCCAGCTCAACTCCGCCGGGTGGAACACTGCACCTGATGCAGAGCAGAGCTTGCTCAGCCTCGCCGTCAATCTCCCCAATGGCACCACCGTGTTTCACCGTGCGACTGTCTCCACTTCTCGCGCTCCTTCCGACTATGCTGAAGACGTTTTCCGCGACGCAGTAGCTAAGATTTCCGGCGGCGCAGCCCACCGCTGCGCCGGCATTGTTGCCGACCGGTTCAAGTCAAAGGCACTCCGCAATCTCGAAACGCAGAATCACTGGATGGTGAACGTCCATTGCCAGCTCCAGGGCCTTCATGGCCTTATCAAAGACTTCACCCGCAACCTCCACATTTTTCATTCCGCCGCTTCGAAATCCTCCCGCCTCGCTGAATTCTTCAATACCAATTCATTAGCTCGCGCCGTTCTGCAAAAATATCAGCTTCAAGAACTCAACCATTCCCGCCTTCTCCATTCCCAGAACTTAAACGCTGTCTTGGAAGACTTGATATTTTTCTCACATTCCCTGCAACTCGCCATCCTCGATGAGGACTTCAAGCTCCTCTGCCTGGACGACTCGATGGCGAGGGAGATTTCAGACTTGATTCGAGACGCGAGGTTCTGGAACGAATTGCAGGCCGTTCATTCTCTTGTTAAACTGGTAGAGACCATGTCAAAGGAAATGGAAGCAGAGCGGCCGCTCATCGGCCAATGCCTGCCTCTCTGGGATGAGCTCCGCGGAAAGGTGAAGACTTGGCTTGCAAAGTTCCACATTGAAGCCGTCATCGACGTCGAACGCATTGTCGAGCGGCGGTTCAAAAAGAACTACCATCCGGCGTGGTCGGCGGCGTTCATATTGGATCCGTTGTATCTAACCAAGGATGCTAGCGGCAAGTACCTGCCCCCATTTAAATTCTTGACGCCGGAACAGGAGAAGGATGTCGACCGATTAATAACGCGGCTGGTTTCGAGGGAAGAAGCTCACATTGTGCTCATGGAGCTGATGAAATGGAGAACAGATGGCTTAGACCCGTTGTATGCCCAAGCCGTGCAGATGAAGCAGCTGGATCCTGCAACGGGGAAGATGAGAGTGGCAAATCCGCAGAGCAGCAGATTGGTGTGGGAAACTTGCCTTAGTGAGCTAAGATCGCTGGGCAGGGTGGCCGTGCGTCTTATCTTTCTGCACGCCACAGCCTGCCGTGTTAGGTGCAGCCCAAATCTTCTCAGGGTGGCGCGGCGGTCGAGGCTGGCATCTGAAAGAGCGGAGAAGATCATATTTGTGGCGGCTCAAGCGAGATTTGAAAGACGGAGCTTCTCTGACGACGAGGAGAAGGATGCTGAAATTTTCGGAGAGAATGAGGATGACGATGCATCTTCAGTGTAACAATTTTTTTCTTCTTCTTTTTTTTCTTCTTGTTTTAATTTAAAGTTGATTTCTTTATTTGATCTTTTCTGGCATTATGTTGGTATTGCTGGATTCTTTGTTTGGATTCTGAGCCAGCTGGTAGTTCTGGTAGCTTGCTTTTGCTGTGGGGATTTTGATCAGCAAAGGAGTTTGTTTGGAGATAAAGGATGATTTCTTCTTGTTTTGTAATGCAGTTAGCAGGACCAGGAAGAACGATGTAAAATTTTGTTTCTTAAAGAATAGCATGCTTATGTGATTCAGATTTTCTTAAGTTAGGATGAACATTGTGATTATTTTATTTTATTTATTTATTTATTTTTTTTTTTTTTGAAAGGTGAACTTAAAGGGTAAAATAGCCCAACATCTATATAGCAATAAATTTCATCAACATATACAAGCATTATATTATGTCATTATTTTCTAAATTTGGGCACAAAATAAAGCCTGAAGTTGAAATCTGTAAAAGTTCTTTATAATTTTATGTTACTCATTAAATGTCTGCAAAGCAAACAATCTCTATTCTCTTTCTCATGCCCGGTCTGCGATGCGTTTACATTCTGCTGTGTAACAATTTGTATTTTTTTTTTTAATATGGCTTAACGTCCCTTTTGATGTTCTGGAAACTAAGCTTAATCTAGTCCTAATATCTTCCTATAATGCATTTGTATTTTATTTGAAATGACTCTGCCCACATTATAGTTTTAGAAAGCCTGTTTCATAAGTTTGCCTATCCCCATAATGCTCTATTATGAGCTATTTTAATTATTGAGTTTCTATTAAAACTCCACCCATAATGCCAAAGGACAAATCATATATGTAGTCCACCCCATTATTTATAAAGTTCATTAATAAATTCTCTCTTATTAATGTTGGCTTTTGTTCATTCATGACTTCTTTTCTCTTGCAACATTGTCATCATATTATTTAGATAAGAGTAGCTCTTTGTTTGAGTCTCAGTCTTACTAATCACATGTGCTCAAATGTTCAACTCGATCTAACACAAATAATCATCGTTCATTAATGCTTTTTTTAGGTTTTTTTTTATGAGGAAGATTGACACGAATCTCATTTGGATGCCGGTGGCGCTTTCATTGGCAAATCAATTAAGTTTCTCATTGATGTTTCCATACTAACAATACTATTAATATTTTAATCAAAGAAAACTAACAAATGGTCATCTTTGCATGAACAACTCTTGATGAAAAAGTAGTTGATTGAAACATGGTAATATGTTGTTTATAATTGTTATTTTGTCAAAGCTAGGGTTTCTAGAGAACTTCATGATGTTTAGTTCTTTGAAGATATTCCAATTCTTTCTAAAAGGCATAGTATTATTACTGTTGTATGTTAAAAAATTCTAAACGACAGAAAAACCTTAAGCTTTAGCTCAATATAATTTTATTGCACAATCATAGATAAAAATATAAGAAAATTAGATTTTTGATGTGGAAAAACTAAAAAAGAAAAAAAAAATCTCAAGGTCTAACCTATTTAAAGTAACCTACTATATAATTTCTATTACAGAATGACACTTTTTTTAGGGATAAATATAGTGGGATTACAAATTAAAGATCGGGCAACAACTGCCTGAGAAGAATAACCGGGGCATAGAAGTCACTAATGATGGTTGACAATGACCTTGAATAGTTGGTGTTGATCTTCGAGGTCAGTAGTGATCTGTGATGGTTGACTGTGATTTTTTCTGGTTAACGGTGAACTCTGATAGTCAATGGTGATCTCGTGGGACCAACGATGGCTGTCATAGCTTAAAGAGTTATGTTTTAGTAGTTAGTTCGCTCTCTTCTATTTTTCTCGCCCTCTCCTCCCTTTAAGTGAAGAATGGGGCCTTATTTGAAATTTTTATATGGGCATTTTGAAAACTTTAACCATTGTCCACAATTATTCTCTTGATCATAACTCTTTTTTTCAATATTTAATTACATTAAAAAAATCAAAATTAGGTTATTTCAGGCTCTTTGAATTTCTCTCATCGAGCTGCTCTATTTAACTATAAGCATGCCAAATTTAGAGATTATGTGGTTATCCAATTGATACATCAAAGCCTTCAACAACACTTCAAGTGCTTGACCTGTGATTATTTGGACTCGATTGAATCACGTTCAATGTCAGTGGGCTTGTATTATTAAGATGCTCAATTTGATTATAAATTTGTTGAAGTAAGTGTTTAGATGATTCTGAATTTGAATTTGAAAGATTTCTTTGCCAAAAATATATTGAGATTTATGCTTGATCATTTAAATTTCTTGGTGGCATATCAATTACTTAAAATTTTAATGGGGAAGCTAGAGTGAAATAAGAGAGAATAACAATAAAATTTGATACTATGAAAGTCAAAAAGACGTTTTCGCTTTGAAATTTGATTCTTGAACTAATCTATTGAAGTGAACTCCTCATTTTCATCAATCAATCTAAACAAGTTGTAATACTCTAGTGATCTATTTTTGAGTTACCTATAAAATCTTCAAACATAGCTAGCTTCTTATCGTGGCGTAAATACACAACATTGCAATTCATAATTCTAGAGTCAATCGTAGTCCCGGAACTCATACTTCCATAGAATGCAGTTTAATATATCCAAAATTATCTTTTCTTGATGTTACATTGAGAAAATTAAAGAAAGAAATGAAAATTTAAGAATAAAAATAATACAATGAGCTTGTTTAAAAAAAAAAAGATAGGTCAAAATATAAATTTCAACACAACCCCAATACAAAATGTCTGATGTAAGCCAAAAACATATATGTTGAGAATTTTAGGGCAAATAAAGCACAAGAATCAAAGCAAATCAAGTAAAAAGCATAGAGATTTAACAAGGTTTGACAATTTGCCTACGTCCTTAGAACCAGAGCGGTGGCTTTTCTTTCAATTCAGAAAAAGGAATACGGTCCCTTAGGTTTACAAACAAGACATATATATGTAACATTGGCGTACAACATGTAATTACAAAATTACCTCTGTACCTTACTACGGGGGCGTTGCCCCCACACCCCAAACCCACATAAAGAAAACTTTTCCTGATTGAATAGATGTTTTCGCTCCGCTCTCTCGCTCGGTTTCGCTCTAACATCTTTCCCTTATATGGTATGTGAGTCATATCTAACAACCTAGTATTAAATAAAATTAAGCGAGGAATTTATTTATAATATGATAAGAAACTAGCCAAAGAGCACATAACCAAGCTAAAAAAATACAAATTAGTTATGAGAGATCATTTAAAATAATTTAAAATTCGTTCAACCCATATAATGAAAAAGTTTATGGAGAAAGAAAATACTCCAGGAGGCGTAGCTCAATATCTATATATTATTTTTTAAAAATGGAATGGCCTGAGGCTATCATACGAGCCCCGGCCATCACCGATGTGCATAACAATTCGAGTACCACACCCTCCACCGGGAGGAATCGAACCACTGATCAGAGGATACTTACAACCGACAAACAGATGCCGACCAACTGATCTGAGTGCGCGACACACATATATA